AAAAAAAAAAAAAAAAAGGGAAAAATTTAAAATCCAAATATCAGTAAACAACTGATTTGGGTGTCAGCGAGAATGAGATCTATATGCTTGTAGCCAGTCCTTAAAACAAAGCTGTACCTAGATACTCCTGCATACCCAGCTAGGCATTTGCATGGACTGATCATATACACAAGCTGCTGTCTCACCACAGCTACTCTGTGCTTGCATATGTTAAATGACATCTTAAGGAATCAGCAGTTGAGTAGACAACTCATGGATCAGGACACAAAATTAAAAATCAGTGCTAGCTAGAACGGAAAAACCTGCTCTTCAAGCACTTTCAATTTTTACAGAACTTTTTTATATTACCAGAACACCTACAATATTCAAATGGAACCTATGCTTACTATGCAGAAATAATTGATATCCCGAAAGAAAAAAGTTACAGTTTATGTTAAACTTCCATATAACACACTTTCTCTACTGATTTCATTCAACTCTGCTACAAAACAACAGTGATATCAACCTCAGGCAGATAACACCCAAAGTGCAGACAATCACAGAAACCAGTTGTAGTGAGAGAACTGTGGAGCACTCGATTTCTTGACTTTCTGCTACCTCTGCTCTCACGGGGTCAACCGCAAACAAGTTCATAATGCAGTTGGCTTCAGCTACATGTTTCATCCTTTCAAATCCTGAAATGCACTGCACACATTGAAGGCGGGATCTTCATAAGCTGATAAATTGGTTGTATAAACAAGTAAGCTTTTGTCAAGTCTTCTACAGGTACTTGACAGATGAAAACTTGACAGTGACAAGTTCTAACTCCCAGGCTATGCTTGCACTGTTCAGTGAGAGAAAAACTGATCTCCTCCACCTTTTCCAACAGTGCTAACATATTCTTGTCCCCACATTCCAGCAACCTTGAAGACTTTTGTGGCCATGGAAACAACCCCAAGATTAGATTAAAATATTCAATTAGAAGTTTCAGCAATTTCTTTGTCTCTTTCAGCTTCATTCAAATCTTCTCTTCTGTCCATAAAAAGCACTGCTGAAC